TATAGATCTTACAACAAATTAAAAAAATTCTTCCTTCTTTTGAGCCCAGATGCATCTCCTTGTAGATTTTTACCCGTTGAGTCTCCTGCTCGCGAAGCTTCCTTCAGAGCAGACGGCAGCGGTGCCTCCCTTGTTTTCCTGTCCTGGGCTTGACCATCCCTGCTCTTCTGAGGGTCTCTGGGATTTCTCCGGAACACACTGCATCTCGCTATCCTTTGAAATAGGATACATTCCTAGAGGAACAGCTATCTATTCCTCTCCTACCAGCAGAAACTAGTGGTTAAGAGCACAAGTGGTTAAGAGCCAGCCTGGGTTTGAATCCTGGCTCTGCTTTTTCCTAGCTGGTAATCCTGGGTAAGACCCGACCGAGCTAATCAAGCTGCGAGGGATGTGTTAGAATGTACACAGTGCTTCCAACAGTGCCAAGGGGAAAGTCAGTGCTCAACGCATGTTTACTGCTCGCAGATGTCAAAGCTCCTTTTGGAAGGGAATATAAAACAAAAGAGGCCCCCCTAAGTCAACCTGGGCATGTCACATGAAGATGCTTTGATTTTTCCCAACTGAACATGGCTAGGGCCCGATACTGAATCAGGGGCCACTGGTATGACAAAAACAAGACACCTGAAGCATCCCCAGGGTGTCTGAAAGTCCAGAGACCAGAACTCAGTCAGGGGATGGAGGATGCAAAGTGTCTGCAGCAAAGCCACCTGGAGAATGCCTCTCAGAAGCTGTCACTCCTGCAGGCAAATGAGCTGGGTCTTCTATCAACAACTATCATCTCATGCTTCTGTCCTGCTCTCCACCTAGGTTTCTGCTCATCCCAGGATCAGCCTTAGCTGCTGTGCAAGGATCTTCTGACCCCTGCTGTCCACTGCGTGTCATGGCACAAACGTGAAGATGGCCATGACTCAGGGAGCACCTCAGAGATGTGCTTTTTTTGACTTTTTTTGACAGTGACTCCCAATGTGAATATATCTTCCTCTGTAACTATACACAAAAGTTTCATAAAGCAATTCTTACCTTTAATATGTGTGAGCACTCTGATAGATTCTCTATTTTTCTATTATATTTCAATAATAAGAGAAATGCTGATTGCAATCCACAGAATTGGTGTCGTAGCCCCAGGCTTTCTCCGGCAGTTCACGAGACATTAATGTACTTTACGGAGTTAGTCCTTTGGTCTCCCCAACACCAGTCAGTGTGCACTATGTCCTTTTCAAGCCATTGGCCACACTGAAGGCTGACTGCTTGTTTTTCCTTTAAATCAATTCACTTGAACATTGTTAAATACCCACGGTAGCTTAAGTAAAATACTGGTGAAAATACAAGTTTGAGGACCAGCTGTATTTTCCCCCAAATACACACTGAATAAATGTTTAACTATAGAGATAAAATGTATTTTCATACCCCCTAAAACTATCTTGCACACCAGCAGTGTCTGCATTTCTCACTCTGGGAATCACAGACCTCAGTTCAAACATCTCATTTTATAGCGGGGGCAGTGAGGCCGAGAGAGGTGTGAATTTGCTTATCTGAGGTCTAATTTAAGGAGAGTGATCTCTAGGCGACCCCTGGCCAAATGCTGCACTAAGTCTGTCAGTCTTACCGCTTTGGGAGAGAAGCCCCTCCCCTCAAACATCACCAGAGCAAGGATATCAGTCTATAGGTACTATGGCAGAGCCATTTGGAGACCTTTGTAGGTCTCAGACATCCTTATTTTTTGAGGTCCTAATCCATATCATGTCATAAATATTACAATTTATCCACATTGGCACTTATTAATTTCAATTAAAAATTTATTAATTTTTTTTTGGTATTTTGAAGCAAATGAGTTTTCTGAGCTCCAACGATTTCTGTAGGCCATTAAAAAGTTCACAGGCCTTAGGTTTATAGCCTGTTGTGCCCAGTGGATGAAATGGCCCTGGGTCTGGTAAAAGAGTCTGATCTAGGAAGACATACTAAAGAGAAATTACACATGGAAACCCTCTATCCTGGTCTCTCTGATGGGAAATGTGTTCAGGCCATGGACAATGGAATGCATGACTTTCCAGGGGTGACATCCTTCCTATTCTGGTAGACTGTAGGGGGCAGTGCCGTTTCAGGTTGGCTAAATGCCGTGTGACTGACAGGGGGCTCTCATTAAGTAAAACAAAGGTATCAGAATAGATTGATGATTTTCAAAGGTTTTATTTTGGCATCAGGGCCCTTTTGCAAATGAAATCTCATTATTAGGCCAAAAGTAGACCTGCTCTACAATGGACAAAGCTCTGATCAGCCCTCTGAATCTAACAGATATGAAGGTAAGTATGTGAAGACATCTAGGAGAATGTCCCCTAGGGATCTGCAAAAACAGAGGGGTTTCCTGAAGACAAGGGCAGGCTCTGAGACCACTGATCTCCTCCAGGCCTTGATCAGATCTCAGCTCTAAGGAACAGCACAGCAATTTTCAAACCTCTTTTATGGTGATGCACAGTAAAAAATAAAGCTTATGATAAGGCAGACTACATTGTACTGAAATGTGTTCACAAAACATGCATTTATACTGTAGAAGAGAATACTGTCTGACACTTGGGCTGGGTCAGGGATGTTTTGGGAATATAATCCACAAACCTCTTCTTGGGAATCAAATATATTTCTGATAAAAAGCTTAAGCAATTTTCTGATGAATTTTTATGGGAATAAGACCTCTAAGAAACCAGTTACCTAGGCACTCAGCTAATGTCAACTTTGAGAGGGACCCAACGGCCTTTAGCTGTCTTTCAATAAATCTAATAATTCTTAACCAGAACTTTTTTCTTGTATCCAGTCTAATAATGGTTATCTAACCATTCTCTTTTCCTATACCATGTCCTTACCAATTGATACGTGTTGAACTGGCCAGGTAGAAGCCTCTTCCCTTACCGTGAGATTGTAATAAGAACTTTGAAACTGAGTTATAAATTGCCTGAAGCTTTTCCCCTCCCTCTGTTCATTCCTTAATGGTGTGATGCACTCTGATATTTCTTGTTCTATTTTATTTTATTTTTTTAAATGTTAACTGCGACCCACTAAATTGATTTCACCAGTCTTTAATGGTTTTGACTGGAAGCTTAAAAACCATGGGGAAAGTAGTCTATTAAGACAGAAACACATTGCTGCCATTAAGAAATGAAACCAGAGAAGGAAACGAGGTAAGATAAAGGCCAAAGAGTGCTTACTCTTCCCAAGTACCTGGCACACGGCAGTTGAGTAACTGTCCTTTGAAACTTAAAAAAAATAATTAAAATTTTAAAAAGGGGGCAAGCCACACATTTTATGTTTGCAATGCAAGTAAGAATTCGTATTCAGAATATATAAAGGACTCAAACGTCAAAAAGAAAAAGACAAAAAAGAAGAAAAATGAGCAGAAGATGTGAACAGGCAATTTCAGGAAAGCATAGAGAACGATGCTCCGCTTCTCTGCTAGGCAGGTAAAGGAAGAGAATGGATTATTAAAACTGAGAAACTGAGTGGAGGTGCCCCTTCGCGCTCACACTCCTGAGCAGGGGTATCAGCCAGCTGGTACTGGGAGTGGGTAAAACTGCTCCTTCAAATACCAGAAAACTGCCAAGTGATTCTGCTGCTGCTGAGAAGGAAGGCCCCGAGGTTGGCCGGGTGAAGCGTTGCTGGTGGAGTGCTCCCCTGAACCAGGAGGCTGGAAGCCCACAGACAGCAGGCAGGCAGAAGTCGCTCCCCCCTCCAGCCCCGAAGGCTCCCTCCAGTGCCCCCTGGTGGCAGAGTGCAACACGGGGCCAGGCAGCAAAGCGGAGGTGTGGTTTGCAGAGTCACAGCCTCGGCCGCAAAGCGGGATGTGGAAGGATTTGGAGTCAAGGGACAAAAACAGAAATGCCACAGCCCATCACACTGGCTAAATGAAATTCCATTCCAAAAGGAGGGAAAAGTTGTTTCTAACACCATGCGACTATTCTATACAGAAAGATGCTATTACCGTAAAAATGGAAAGAGTTCATCGCCAGCAAACCTGCACTAGAAGAAACGATTAAGAAAGCCTTTGAAGCAGAAGGAAAATGCTACCAGGTGAAAATCTGGATCTACATAAAGAAACGAGGAGCGCCAGAATCGCTAACTATGTAAATAAATATAAAGAGCTTTTAAAAAGTTATTTAAATTTCTTTAAAGGCTAATTGACTGTTTGAAGCAAATATGCTAAGAGTGTACTGTGGGGTTTATAACATTGTATATGTGACAACACTAGCAAAGAGGCTGGGGAAATGGGAGTACACGCGTGTAAGGTTCTTATACTATGGGTCAAGTAGTGTAACATCACGTGAAGGTAGAATGTGATAAGTTAAAAATGTATACTACAAACCCTCATGAAACTACTAAAGTAAAACAAAAACAGCAAATAAGCCAACAAAGGGGATGAACTAAATAACTGAAAATACTAAATTAAGACAAAAGGAATAAAGGGTGCAATGACCAGACGGAACAAATAGAAAACAAACAGCTAGGTGGTAGGTTTAAGGCCAACTGCATCAATAATTACAGAAAATATAAATTGTCTAAACATTTCCCACAGTAGCAAAAGTGATCAGATTGGATTTAAAAAGCACCAACTATATAACACAACAAATCTATTTTAAATATAAAGATACAAGTAGGTTGAACGTAAAAGTGTGGGGAAAAGTGCACCATCCTAACAATAATAGAAAGAAGGCTGGAACAGCTGTATTAATGTCAAATAAAACAGATTTCAGAGCAGAGACTACTTTACCAAGGACCAAGAAAGCCATTTCATAAAGACAAAGGGGCCAATTTATCAAGCAGACATAATGATGCAAGGTGTTTCTGCACCCGATAAAGAGCTTCCAAAGAGGGAATGAGATGTTTTTGGAGCCTCATGGGAATCACAGTGCTCTGTAGGATTCCATATCAATGTTATTTCTTTAATTCTTCCTCTTCTATTTTTAGTATTATCTATTACGCTCACTGTAAATTGAGCTTGAGGACACTATACCTACCTTTATTTGGTTATCAAAGGAAACCATCCTGGGAGGCAGTAAATAGCGGTGGCAAGTTAGTTTGGCTTCTATGGACTTCATTTTTTCCATCTGTACCATGAAGGTCAACTGTTTAGGAAAAAAAAAGTTTTTAAACAGTGAATTATTTCTCCGGCCTAACAGCACATATAACCCATACAAGCATGTGGAGTTGCAGAGGCTGGGTCAGGTATCCAGGCCTTGGGACCTTGTTCTTAGCCATGCTGGGATGGGAGCAACAGCAAGGACGGAGGAGCAGGAATCCTGGGAGATCTAACTGAGAACTTGAGCCAAATACCCCGCTTGTTGGGCTCTTAATTCTTCCCCTGGCTTGTGTGATCTGGGGAAAGAGTATTCTATTAATGGCATTCTTTCATTTTAAGTATTTTCAACAACGGACAGCAAATTCATATGAATTTTATAAGCTTCCCTCAGCTGATATGTAAATTAATAGATTATGAGAATGACAGGTGCTGACTTGTACTTATTTAATTTTTCAAACTGACCTGGTTGGCAACAACTGAAGGCAAGTGACAGCTACTTCCTAGCTCAACAAATCCAAGGGATTAGTAGATGGAGACATTAGAGGCTTTCTTGACCGGCAATGGAGATGACACCATTGCTCTTTGCTCTCCACTGCACACACGTGCTCAGCATTAGATACCACGTCATAGGTACAACAGCACCCTGTGCTCCTTTGAAGCTACCATGAGCGGACAATGTGGGGAGGATGCTGACACATAACATGGGTAGCACACACTTATAATATGCAGCAGGTACATTAAGAATTCTGGCAGATACAAGCTTCTTTAATACACAGAATCATTTTGTAAGCTGGGGAATCTGGTGTGTAAAACAGCATGTATGGCAAATATCTTGTCAGCACCCTTTTCTCCAAGTCTCTTGTCTTTTTTGACACTTTCTTGCTCTGTGTATACCCCTTTGGATTTCAGCTTTGAGACACAGAAAAATGAAATTTGGAGGAAGAAGCCTAGGTGACAAAGGATAACAGAAAGAAAGGTTCCGCAACTCTGTATCCTTCCAAGAGATCAGCCACCTAGAAACCAAGTGTTCAGCTTTTTCACAGTAACCTTCCAACCAGTCTCACAGGTACTACTAAGCAGGGGGATCAAAGCAGTTAATACAGAAAAGTCTAGAAGGATATACTCCAAGTTGCTGACAGTATTTCCAGAGGATGGAAATGGAAAGGAATGATGACAAATGATTAAATTTTTCTCTACACATCTTCGAGTTATTTTGTCACATTAAGCACGTATCCCTTTTGTAACAGATATTAATAAAGAACACTGTCAAGAGAAGCAACTGCCTTATTCACTTAAAAACACTGATTAAGAGAGTGTTTGTATGTAATGCATGCACATGGTCTGTCATATGAAAAAGAATAAGCTCACCAAAGACTAAAATTCCAAAGTCTAGTGATTAGTTTCTAGCAGAAGTTTTATGAGGCAGAAGCATGAGGGTAGTCTTGGGTTTATAACATTCCTCTGGCCTGAGCCCCTAGTCTTCTGAGCAGCCCAGTGCACTACCCTATAATGAAATAATGTCAGGCATGACTTAGCACAGTGTCTGGAAACAGCAAGCACTCTACCTCACAAAAGGTCCCACAGAATCAAAGTCATTCACATCCTGTTAGGTGGGACCAGCTTTCCTCCTGGGGTAAAATCACATACATTATTGAAAGCAGAGATGTAAGGTCTTCTCAAAAAGCAACATATCCCTCTGTTCTGAGAGCTCCTGCCCTGACATGTGACATAGGCCACTACCTTTAAACCTCTCCTGTACTATAATCCTATGATTAGTGGGGTGCTTCCTCAATGGATCATGCTTTGGCTTTCTAAGCTGCTAGAATCTTCAGGGACCTTGGTGCTATAGAGATAGATTTCAGACCCAGTGCTTCTTTGTTGTAAGGGGCTGGATAGGGGATAGCCTGTGTCTTGTAGAATGTTTAGTGGCACACAACACACACCAAACTGCTCAAGCCAAAACTTTACCCGCTAGATGCCAGTAGCATCCAAACTCCACAGTTGTGACAAAAATATCTCCAGACATTGCCAAGTGTCCCTTGTGGGGCAAAATTGTCCCCAGTTTAGAACCATTGTTATAGATCAATTTAGTTGTTCTTCAGCCATTCCAGAAGAACCTAAGGCTAGGACTACACATTAATATCCATGCACCCCTCCACCACCAGGAAAAAAACCCCATCCCCAAAACTTGAACTTTTAAACTTTAAGATCTTCTTCCAAGGAGCAACGTAATGTTAACCGTGAAAGTCAAGTTTTCTGAAACATTTATCTAACATTTTAGTGCAAACTTTCTCACTTATTGGTGGCTGTCAAAGGACTATAGGCAAGGACTATAGTCAGGCCAGGCCCTGTGGGGATGAGAGGGAGGGAAGGGGTGTTCAGCCAGCTGGTGCTCCCCCAAGAACATGATCTGAAATTCATTCATGCAGCATAAAATGAGTGAGAGACTGCAGATGATAACTGCTTAGTTGCATGGCTTTAAATACCATCTATGAACTGATGACCCCACATTTTATATTTCTAATCCTCACCTCCCTCATGGTAGCCAGCTTCTTGCATTGAACTGCCACTCAATGTCTCCATGGGGGGCTTGTACAGGAATCTCAAACTCAGCATGGCCAAAACTGAACATATTTTCCCTCCTAAACCTGAACTTCCCCTAGTATTTCTCATAAATGGCCATGCCACCATACACTAAATTCCTTAAGCCTATACTGAGAAGTCATCCCTGATTCCTCTATTCCTCCTTCCCTCACCTCCATATCCATGGGTCATGTCAGCTCTACTTCCAAACCCATCCCTAATCTCTCTTTTCTCTAGATCCACTCTTGCCACCTTAGTATGAGCCACTGTCATTTCTTCCTAGACCATGGTATTAGCTTCCTAACTAGTTCTTATAGCCTCTCTTGTCCCCTTTATTAGGTTTTCTCAATATCATATATTGGGATTTGGGGCTAATTCTTTGTTTGGTGTATGTGGTGGGGAGAGGCCGTCTCATGAACTGTATGATGTTTAGCAGCATCCTTTGTCTCCAACTACCAGATGCTAGTAGCAAAATTCCCCTCCCCCCTCAAACTGTGACAAATAAAAATGTCTAAATATTGCCAGGGGGAAAGAACCACCCACAGGTGAGAACCACTGTCCTGCATCCAACATACAGAAGCCAGGATATTTTAAAAATATAAATTGCATCATGGCACTTCCCTGATGAAAACCTTCCAATGTCTTCCCACTGACCTTAGAATAAAATCCAAGCTCCTTGCTGTGGTTTACAAGACCTCTACGACATGGCTCCTGCCTACTTCTCTAACAGCCTCTCTTCCATATCATGGCTCTCCCTCCAGCCACACCGGTCTTCTTTCTGTTCCTTTACCGTTCTAGGCTTGCTCCCATCCACTCTTTGCACTTGCTGTTCCCTCCGCCTAGAATGCACTCTTTTCAGATCTTTGCATGGCTCACTGTTCACTCACACAAATGTCAGCTCCAATGATGCTGAGTCAGCAAGGCCATCCCTGATCACACTATGTAAAGAACCCACTTACCTCCATTCTCTACCGCATTACCCATTTACTTCCTTCATAGTGCTAATCACAACAGAAAACATCTTGCTCTGTCATTTGTTGTCTGCCCCTTCAAGCAGATTGTGAACTCCTGGAGAGCCAGGCCATCTCCCTGGTTCACTGCTAGAGCCCAAGTGCTAGAATACCATCCCAGATAGAGTAGGTACTCAAAAAGCACCCCTCCGCCTTCTCAAATCTCAGGTCAGGTTTCTCTTCTAAGATTGTTATCCGCATGCATTCCGAGCACCCATCTGGATGGGGGATCAAACCACAACCCCGACATATGCCCTGACCAGGATTCCTACCAGCGACCTTTCCTTGCATAGGATGATGCTAAACCCAGTGAGCCACATCAGCCAGGGCTCTTAGGTTATTCTTGATTGCTGACGTTGTTGACCTTCATTTTTAACTACACGTAGACCTATGTTAAAAAGTGTGTCGCTGGGGGGGGGGTATGTGTGTGTTACCATGTACAGGGCTTGGTATGAAGAAAATAACTGCTTATTTTGAAACATAAACAAAGTCTGTTCCTTGACCCTCAGGTTTTTAGCAGGCATATAATCATTCTACCGGTCATCATTTCAGATTGCTTCCTGTCCCTAAGCAGCGAAGAGACTATGAATCTCAAACTCACCTGGCTCAGGGGTTCAAACAGCCTCTTCGTCCATCAACTCAATTTATACTGCAGCATGGGCCTGAAAACCTTTAGTGCTGGCTTCAAGTTAAAATAGTTGCCTGGGTCAAAGGCTGGCTGGTCCAAAGTGCAGCATGGTCAGTAAGTGTTGGCTGAGTCCCGAAACTGGAGCTCGGCTGTTTCTCACGTTGATTTATGGGCTGTTTGCATGAAATCGAAGATGCCTGGTCCATCCGGCAGCTGCGTGGCTGCACACTGGCGGCAGTGCGGTCCTGGCCGAGGGCCATGGCCCTTTCGCGGCCTCGGGGAAGCCTTTCATCGGGGCATTTTTACATTCTGGCTGGCTGCAGCCTTGTCCCTCCGGGGAGGGCTCTCCACGCGGTGCAGAGACGTCTCCACCCGCTGGGACGAGGCCCGCACGTGGCGGGAGGACGTCTCCGTGCGCTGCGAGGAGGTTTCCACGTGCTGGGAGGACACCTCGAGCACGCGGGGGAGCCGCTTCCCCGAGGGGAGCGCGGAGGGCCTCTCGCTGCGGCGCTGGGAGGTCTCCACCTGCCGGGAAGACGTGTGCACCAGCCGGGAGGAGGTTTCCACGCGGTGCGACGAGCTCTCCACGCGCACCGTCGACGTCTCCTTGTAGCGGGTGGTTTCCACCCGGGGCGAAGCGGTCTTTCCCCGAAAGGGTGAGGCCATTCTACGGGTGTCACGGGAATGGGGGGTGCAAAGCGGCCTCGGGAGGCCCCGCAGCCCAGCACTCCCCGATAGTCTCGCCTCTGGGTTACATCACAGGGGAAGGGATGATGTCACAATGGCGTGTTACGTCACCGCTGGCACAAAGGTGGACGAGAGCGCCCCAACACGATGACGTGCAGGCACAGGGGTCCCGCGGGGGCTTTTCTCGCCCTTACAGAGACTGGGTCCTGCCCCCGGGCGCTCCGCGGGCCCCGCACCGCGCCCTCGCCGTTTGCGAGTCTGCGCGGGCGGAGCGGGGGCGGAGCCCGGGCCGGCCCAGGATGGGCGGAGCCTCCCGCTCCCACGCCAGGCTGTGCCCGCCCCCGCATCCCACACTGCCCCGCGACAGGAAGGCGGAGCTGCGGCTTCCGGAACCTCCTCCGCCACTCCCGGCAGTTGCAGTGTGGGGTTGGTGGCGACTTGGCTTCTTTGCTTGTGATGGCCGCGGCTGTCGCTATGGAGACAGGTCAGTAGCCCTCGGAGCCTTGCGTCTTCGCGAACTGGCCTATCCCGGGCCCGACACCTCCTCCCGCTTCCCCGCGGGACTCCTCGCCGGCCTCTCTGCGGGGTTAGAATTCGGACGGGAGGCGCGAGGGCTCTGGTAGCCGTGGGGAAGGCGAAGGTAGTTCGGCCTTTTCAGAGTCTGGTTTGTTCGCAGACCCTTTTCCCTCACTTGCTAGTTCAACACCGACCCTATGGGCTTCCTCGCGTGGGCGAGAGGAGTTCCATTTGTTTTCTGCGTCTCAAATGAACTTTCATAAGTTTGAAATTTCATCGACACGCTCTCTGATTTTGCACACACGCCGGTCTCTTTTTCAGCTTGAATTTTAAACTTTGTTTCGGATTGATTTAACGTTCGCTTAGCATTTGCTTGACCTGATCACATTAACATTGTAACGCATTATTAAAATAGGGGAATGCATAGTTATTACCACTTACCCAGGGATCACTGTTAAAATCTCTGCATAGTGGCTCACAAGTGATAAATATCCTGCCTTCTGTGTGTTCTTGTTTTCTCTGATGACTTCTCTTTAGAGAAGCTTAAGTCATTTTAATCAGAGCTTTTCTTTTCTTACCCTTGTAAGGAAGGTTAATCTCCTCTCACATCCAGTTTAGAAAAACCGTCACCAGCCCTTCATGTAGAAATGTATCTCAGCATTAGTCATGTTTCTTTACTGCTGTTTTCTTTCTACAAATCAGTATTATATAAGGTGACCTTTATTTTGGATGATTTTTGCTATCTTCTCTCCTAGATGATGCTGGAAATCGACTTCGGTTTCAGTTGGAGTTGGAATTTGTGCAGTGTTTAGCTAACCCAAATTACCTTAATTGTAAGTTGTTGAGCACCTCATTGAATGGAGTTAATGATTTCTGACAGACAAGTTGCAATTCATATTAGTGTCTGCTTTTATACATTCTCAGTTGAACGGAATTACTGCTGTACTTAAACTGGTATATATATAATTGAGCAAACTGGGACTTGTTTTTTGATTTCATTGTGTGTTGGTAGTGGGGAATGTTATGTAAGTAAATTCTTTATGTTAGGAGTCACAAATCAGCAGTTCATGGATTGGTTTGCTCTACAGATGTATTTTTTTTTTTTATGCCTTTCAGTTCTTGCCCAAAGAGGTTACTTCAAAGACAAAGCTTTTGTTAATTATCTTAAGTACTTGCTTTACTGGAAAGAACCAGAATATGCCAAGTATCTAAAGTAAGTTTAATTTTTATAGTCCTAAATATGTATATACTTTATTATACTCCAGAACACTGATATTTAACAGACTTCTTAGTTTCACATTGGAAAAAATATATTTTGAATCTCTCTACTTCTTTTACGACCACTTTATGAGACACACTCATCTCTAACTTGGATTATTGCAGTAATCTACTAGCTGGTTATCTCTGCTTTCACTGTTACCTTTCTTCTCCCCACCCCCAGACAAAGCAAAACAGTTCTTTACACAGAAGCCAAATTTATCTCTTAAAAATGTAAATCACAATATGTTACTTTCTTTCTTAGAATCTTTCAATGGCTTCCTATTGCATGCAGAATAAAACTCAGTCTCTTTTCTTGAGCTAAAGTTCACATGATCTGGCTCTGTCTTATCTGACCTTATCTTGTACCTCTCAACCCATCTCACTGGTTTTCTGACCCCAAGGAACCCACAGTCTGTAAATGCAGGAACATAGCCAATAGGTTAAAAATTTAAGAACGTAAAAAGGGGTACTTGTAAGGATGTTTTCTGGAGGAGGTAACCTTACCTGAGTTCTTAATAGCCACTGTCTTTTTTAGGGCCTCTTATTTGCCGAGTACTGTGCTCATTAAAAAAAGTATATATATATGTATATACACACATACACACATTTATGTTGTGCAAAAGATGCTGTCATTTTAATGGTTACTAAACTGCAAGAAGCATATTATAATCACAAACCTATTCCTTTTTAATGGTAAAAAATGAACTGAATTCACACCTCTGCTTTGTCTTAACTAGCTAGTCAAAAAGCAGTAATAAAACTTTTTGGTTTTTTTTTTCGTAAACACACAAAAGTTTGAGAGGGAAATGTTTCAAATTTGTGCTTTTTATCCAAGTCACTTCTCATCTATGTCGAATAGCTGATTCACGAAGTTGCCAGTAAGGGACCCTTTGTACCCTTACTTGCTGTTTATAAACAACCACTTATTCACTTAATAATCCACAGAAAACACTTTTTTATTAGATTGCAACATGTATGTATGTGGACTTAGAGACTCAGTTTCATCTACAGCATTGCTGAGATGGTCATCTACACTATGGCTAGAGGTTTCCATTGAGCCGATATTGCTCCATTTGGGGACAGCCAATTCCATTGTTAACTAGATGCTACAAAGTTCTTCCCTATATTGTGATATTATATACCTCTATGTAACGTCAATCCATGTTCCCAGTTTTGTCCCTGAATTAATCTAGAACCAGTCTCTGCCCTATTGGGACAAGGGCCCTTCAGATATTTAAATTCAAGAGAGGTTGCAAATTAACCCTTGTTGGCATATCATTCAGTCCTCACAAGGATTTTGTTATTTTAATAGTTGCCAACATTTAAAGATTGGAAAGTTTTTTATAATCAGAGTTCTAGCTACTAACTACTTGAAGCCATTTCTCGCGTCCTCCTTCAGATATTTTGCAAATATGCTTTATCTTACTCATCCAAGAACTAAACACAGACCTTCAGATGTAAGGGTGCAGTGGACCAAATAGCACTTTTTTCTTCATTTGGACATTATACTTCTAGTACTTCAACCTAAGTTTACATTATCTTTGGAGGGGAGACTGGAGGGAGGAAGGATTCACATTGTTGATTTCCTGGGAGCTTTATGTCAACTAAAATCCTTCAGTTTTTATTTTCATTAACGCTATTGAGTTCTTTATTTGCGTCTTGTTTACTATTTAAAAATCTAAATGCATAGCTTTTCTTTTGTATCATCTTGTTAATGCTATAATTGTAGCCTGTCAAATTAATCATAATTCCTCATTGTATCATTTATGTATTCTGAGCATTATCTTTGGAGGGGGAACCGGAGGGGGGGGGAGCAAACTTGTCCTTCAACAAGTTTGATAAAAGATCACTGTGTCTAAATTTAGTTATTGACTTTTAGATGCTACTTGAGACCATTCTTAGTTGTCACATTATTTTACAGATGAAGAAACTAAACCTCAGAGAGGTTAAGTACCTTGTTCAAGGCCACCCAGCTGGTGAATTGCAGAGCTGGTATATGACCCAGGTCTTTTCATGAAGGTGCCTTCATGAAAAAGAAATAGCTAGGGTAGGTGAGGGTAGGGCATTCTAGGCTTAGCAACCAACAATTACAAGCAACTGTGTATCTGGAGTGTAGATAGCAAACCTATAATATCTTGGAAGGACAGCATGGTATTGGGCCCTACTACTCAGTGTGGTTCTCAGACCAGCAGTATTGCTATTACTTAGGAGCTTGTTAGAAATGCAGAGCTTAGGCCCCACCACAGACCTACTAAATCAGATCTGCATTTCAAGAAGTGATTCATGTACATATTAAAATTTGAGAAGCACTGCTGTAGTATATGGTTTTCCAAATTTTAGTCATTTGTACCACTTACACAGTTTTGGCTCTGTGTACTCCCTATATGATTTGATGTTTTTTATTTACTCATTTAAATTTGATGTCTTTTCTATTCAAAATAATTTCACTTACAAAACAGCATGGAAAAACAGTAAAGAGAATCCTTGTATATTCATCCATATATTATTCTTTTTTTTTTCTTTTTAATATATCTTTATTGATTTCAGAGAGAGGAAAGGAGAGGGAGAGAGAGAGATAGAAACATCAATGATGAGAGAGTCATTGATTGGCTGGCCCGCAACCCGGGCATGTGCCCCGACCGGGAACTGAACCCCGATCACCTGGATCCTAGGTTGACGCTCAACTGCTGAGCAATGCCCGGCCGGGCTCACCCATATATTCTAAATGTTAACATCTTATATAACCACAGTACAATGATCAAAATCAGAACATTAACATTAATACACTAACTTTGTTATCTCATCTGCAGATTTCAAATTTTGCAGGCTGTCTTACTAATGTCCTATGTCTGGTACAGTATCCATTCAAGGCTCGTATGCTGCATTTTGTCTTATGCCTTAGTTTCCTTTGATCTGAATTCATTGGTTCTCCCCCCCCATGACTGTGACACAGAAATGATGCTGTATCCTTCTAGGTGTATCAGGAGTCACAGGAAGTCAATTTACCCACCACTGGTAATGTTAATTTTGATCACTTGGTTGAAGTGGTAGCTGCCAGTTTTCTCCATATCACGTTACTATTTTTTCTATTTAATAAATGCTTTGTGAGGAAATACTTTGAAACTATGATGTCTTGTTTCATATCATACTTTTATCCACTAATTTTAGTATTTTTTTTTTTTTAAATGTATCTATTGATTTCAGAGAGAGGAAAGGAAGGGGGAGAGAGAGAGATAGAAACATCAGTGATGAGAGAGTCATTGATTGGCTGTGAGCCCGCAACCCGGGCATGCGCCCTGACCAGGAATCGAACCCTGATCTCCTGGATCCTAGGTCGATGCTCAACCGCTGAGCCACGCCCGGCCGGGCAATTTTGGTATCTATTGAAGATAACTTGCCTCAAAGAATCTTTACTGTGGTGATTTTCTAACTCTAATTCCACCATCCTTTCTACATTTATTAGCTGGAATTCAGTTGTAAGGAAGGAATATTCCCTTGTTCCCAATTTATTTATTCACTTAAAAAAGTTGCATGAGTATATAGTATGGACTTTTGGAATCTTATTTTTATTTTGTGGATTATAATTATATATTCGCTTGCTCCAGTGATTCCAGATATGGCCATTAGGAGCCCCTTCAAATTGTCTCGAGTACTTTTGATATGTCCCCTTAACTTTTTGAGCACTTTTCTTTGGTACTACATCATATTCTAGGTCCATCTTGTATGTTCCCTGCCTTAGTCCTGGAATCAGCCATTTCTCCAAAGAACCCTGGAAAATGCTATTTAAAACCTATGAATTGGGTAGTAAGTGTGCTTGTTGGTACCAGCGTCATTGTTCCTAGGCCCTCTCAGCACACAAACTAAGAACACATAATCTACGTCTATTTCTATGTCTGTGTAAAGTCATGAATTCATACTGCTGTTTTCAATTCCTGCTCAATAACAGGGTTCATTCTTGTCTTTCCTGTTTCTTCATCTGTCTCTTTTTATGATAGCCAGAAATTAGGCTCTTTATCCACAGTATATTTATTTCTATCTTTGCTCAGTCTTAAGTAGGCATAATTTCAGAATTCCGTATCTCCATGGAAAATTTGTGCATAGTTCTTTCTGAAATTGACTCACTTTTTAAAAGTTGTCTTTTTATCATTATTGATGGAAAACCAAGCTATCAATTAAACACATACTTACTAAAATTAAAAGTGTTCCTATTCCTCACCTTGGAAACCGCCAGATTAGAATAGCATGATTTGCCCCCAAATGTTGACTCCAATGACCAGTTATTGAATGGTCTTGGGCAAGTTACTTAATCTTCCTGAACTTAAGTTTTCTCACTTTTGAAAATTTTGCTTAATGCTGACTTCTGATCACTAGCTTCTTTGCCTAAGCAGGAAAAAAAGAACTCGATGTTACCAAAGTGTACTAAGTTAATGTTTCAGAAATTGTAGGCTACAAGATCATTTTTATATGAATAACTGATTAGAACTTGGCGTTATTGACTTCAGTTATGCCGATCACTAATTTATAAACTTAAACCCAGGTACCCTCAGTGTTTACACATGTTAGAACTACTCCAGTACGAACACTTCCGCAAGGAGCTGGTGAATGCTCAGTGTGCGAAATTTATTGATGAGCAGCAAATTCTGCACTGGCAGCACTATTCCCGGAAGCGGATGCGCCTTCAGCAAGCCCTGGCAGAGCAGCAACAGCAAAATAACACATCAGGAAAATGAAAAGCTGGATCCAGACCAGGCTCCTAAGACTGTATATATTGCTTTTGTACAGTGAAGACCAAAAAAGACTCATCTTACCTACTTTTATTGTGGTAGCACTTAGTACCTTGAGTGTGCTATTTAATCCAACTAACTTTTTATTGTTAATAGATTATTTCTGTTAAACCAAAACTGTTCTTTGACTTCCCTCTGGATTTGTAAGTTTTTATTAGTATTTAACACAATCAACTGAAAAGAACAGAAACATTTGGTGCTTTAGACCAATTTAAGGAGGCAGTGTGGATGGGGCAAAGGGTAAGTGCATCTCCTGGAACCTTACTGTCCCTCAGATCAGCTACCTACCCTTCTTATCTACATAATAGAGTCATTGACTCTTCCTTATCTACATACCTAAGGAATGGAGTCAATGACCTCTTTAAATCACTGAGCAGGACCAGTATAAGGTTTCTTAAGTTCTGCAGGAGAGGAGGACATACCTGTATCACTAACTTGCTTTGCAAGAGCTTTTATAGAAGAATCATTGGTATGTCGCTGACCTAGTGATGGTAGGGAGATTGGTAGTTAAATAATTGGACTCTTGACCTTAGACTAGAACAAAGATGAGGTACCTCAAGTACTCGTGCTCATTTGGTAAAGCTAACATTTATTTGGAAGACACCACAAACCAGGCACTGTGTTAAGTGCTTAACTGCATTTTCGTTTGAGTCTCAGAACAATCTTTGTTCAAAAGGAGACTGAGGTTTAGACAGGTTAAGTAACTTGCCTATGGTTATACTACTAGTAAGTGGTAACCAGAGAGTGACTGACTCACAGGTTGGAGTCCTTCCTACGGCTAGGTTATATTGCCTCTGGCCCCGTGCTACTCATCTCTTCCCAAGTAGTACTCAGACAGATGTAAAACAGCTGCCTGCTTGAAGTGGGGGCTGGATTAGATGTGCTGTGCTTTCCTTCAGTGGTTAGGTTAAGTTCTAAATTCTAAAGCCAAGAAGGTATTTTAGGAATAACAATTCTTTGTAAATTCATGGAATTTAAGGTAAAAGATCCTAATTCATTTAGAGATTTGGAAGCTATCTACTCACTATTAGGGGCTTTCAGATATTTCTATAACCTCCAGTAATACATTCCTCTGTGCTATTACTACCACTCCTGAAGACTTATTTTACCTTTATCTTAAAGCTATCCATATGTTATAAACAAACTGAGAGGCACGAGCATTTTATAGCACTCTGTTGTTTAGACATGCCAGTTTTTTTACATCATTTATTTATGTCTAACATGAATTCAAAGCAAGCATGCAGTTTCTTTTATACTAGAGCAAATCAGGAAATCAAGACACAATTGTCATAATCAAATCTTAATCTTCAGAGAACAACATCTCCACGAGGTTGGCCTGAAGACATTCCGATTCTACCAGTTTTTGAGGCTGTAAGAGAAGAACAGTCAAATTGTGACCCACTGCTACAAAAATGTTATTAGGACAGGATAGAGTTGTTCAGCCTTGAATGACAGAAATCTTGGAACCAAAAATTATGCCATTCAGAAACTTTCAACTAGTTGTAACAAGTTTTATGAAACAGTTAAGATATTTGCTTTAAGATGAATCTTTAAAATACTTGGCTCAAAACAGACTAAAACAGGAGACAGCAAGCCCAATGCCATCCCCTTGCCCTGAACTCTTTAATTTAGAATCCCAGGGCCATGACTAGAGGGGCCCTTTCTTTTCAACCAGAATTATGGGTTAAATGGAAAACAACCATTGATGCCAGTGTTTAAGAAATCATGTAAACCAACTTTATTGAGCAGCTAAAATTTTAAATTAATAGCTTTTAAAAAGCGTGAAAAAGATGTAATATTTAGATACTTACATTACTGAGAGTTTATTGGGATTGGCCATAGAGGATGGACAAATGCACTCTGAACAGCAATGTGATACTTGGGATGAAATGTCAAGACCTTTCCACATCTGAATCCAGAACAAGTCAAAAGAGTTTTGACAGGGCGAATTGTAGCCCCAAAAGAGCTGAAGAAAGATACTCACTGTTCCATATTTAAGTAGTGTAGGCACTGCAGTTATTTTCAGGTTTTTTCTGAAGTCATTATTTGGATCTTTCCAACTATTTCGAAAAGAAAAAGTGATCATGAGAAACATTTACTTCCTTACATTTTGTTTAATACTGGATATATTCCTACATTTAATCTTTTAGTAATCATTGCTTTAGTTGTAAACATTTAAAACTTGAGGACTGTCACTTATTCCCCTGTGTAAAAGTTTTCATTTAAAGTGTGACTAAGATATAAAATAAATGTAAAGACAGTTAAGTTCTGAACTAACACCAGGCCAAATTCATTGAATTATCCTTCTAATACAAGTGGCTGAACATTCAAAATTTTAATTTGTACTTAATAGCTTCCTAATTGCTTGACTTATCCGAGTGTACCTTATACATAGAACCTGAGTTCCCAGGCCCTTCCTGCCTGTTTGCAAAAGTCTAGTGCATGTCTGGGAAATGAGTATATATTGCTACTTACTAAGGTTTTTCTCCTACTTGGCAGTAGATGAACACACATCCTTCACAAATATGCTTCAGTCCCTCTCGTACGACTGGTTCGGCTTTAAAAAAAAGTTGATATAAAATAATTACACATCAGCTCTACAATCAGGCACTGCTAAACAGTGTCCCTCTCCCCACCCCGCCCCTCGGTGTTGCTAAGAACTCAGACTTTAACCTGCAGTTAACTGACGAGGTTAACAGAAGCCAGGGACTCTGATTTGAGAGCCACTTCAAGGGTAACTAAATCCCAGTCCTGATTTGTCCCCACACCCCAGCACCCAGAATAATGAAAGGCATAAACATTTGCTGACTGTCCCCAGTAAGACACTAATACTGAGTGAGTGAGAAGTTTTAAAGGACTAGATTTCAAGATTATATGGGTCGAATGGTAGAAAGCACTCTTGGGTGGGGATGGGCTTAACAGGAGAGAAAGGGACAGGGTGGGAAAAGGAGGCAAGATGCCAGCTCATAGCCCTGCGGCTCTCCGTAAGACTCCTTCCTCTGCCTCTTCTCAATTCCGCTCTCTGGCCAGAGCCTTGGCCTTCCTGCCACGTCCTCTAGGCAGCAGCCCCGAATCCCGGCCTCACCCAGCGCGCAGTCGGGGCACCAGCTTTTCCCGTCGGCGTCCTTAGAACCGGTAAAGTAGGCGAAAATGGTCTTGCCTTTGTGCTGCTCCACAGCTCGGCTGAAGTCCTCGAAGCCGGACACACTCACCTCCTCGTACGGGGCCATCGGAGAGCGCTCCCGGGACTGCGGGCCGCCCGGGGAGGCGCGGGGCGGCACCGCCTAGAGGCGGG